AGATGAGAACCAAAATGAAAAGAGAAAAAGAAAATTGTCTCAGTTTCATCACCATTTATCAATAATTTGACTAATGGTGACTTTGTTTGGTTTTGTCATCGACCTACAAATGAAATAAAACCAAAACAAAATTAAGGTGAAAAAATGGAGAAGAAAATGGTAAACAAAATCAATAATGGTTTTAGTAATAACAAATGTCAAATCCTTATTAAAACGTTTAACAAAATCAACAAAATAAATAAAATTTCAACTTAAAAGACAAAAAAAAACTAAAAGAAGAGTCAAAGAAGAGGGAGGTGCTGTATGAAATATGAAGTAGGTGAATCATGTGGGCTTTAAGCCCATCATCACCTCCAAATGTAACCCATGAAAAACAAAGGCATAATTTTAGCAAACCAACAAAAACGGGCTTCAACTTGAAGGCCCAAAACCGGTTCGCAAGACATGATTTCTTACCCTAATTTCTACTTCAAAATCCAACAGATACAAGTAGGGCTGACAATGAACCGAACCAACTCGAAAATAGTCCGGAGTTCGATTCGATACAATTAGATTGTTGAACTAGTTTCATGAACCAAATGAGTTGAGTATGAGCGAAAAAATTAAGTTCGTTAACTAAATGAGCTGAACTTGAACTATACATAGTTCGACTCGTTAAGTTCATGAGTCAACTCGATTACATATGAGAAGAGTTATACTGTCTTTAAGATTAGGTTTAAATATTTACTCCAAATCTTAGACAAATTTAATCTTCAATTTAGTAGTTTTTGAATTAGACTCTCAAATGTATCTCTTGAAAGTTGTGTAGGTTTTGAATTAGTAGATTTCAAAGATAAAGCTAAATTTCAATATGATACCTTTTATTTTATTTTAATATTTTATTTTAAAAAAATATATTTATTTAAAATGTCAAATATACTAAAAAAATATATGTATTTAAAAAAATAGTTTTTAAGTCCGTGAATCATGTGAGCTGAACCTAATGAGATGAACCTAACGAGTTGAACCAAACTGTTCGTGAACTTATAACGAGTCGAGTTTGAGCATAAAAAAAAGTTCGTGTCAAACTCGAACTCGAACCAATTCTTAACGAGTCGAGCTGAGCTGAGGTGAGTTCGACTCGACTCGACTCGACTCATTTCCAGCCCTAGATACAAGGTAGTGTTCATAGTTCATTGAAAAAACAACGTAAACGGTCAACCCAACCTTGTCAAATTTTTTAAAAGCGGACTAAACATGGTGCGGTCCAAGGAAATGGAATCAATACGAAAGCTAGACTTGTTTACAATCAATCTTCAACGTCATGCTATAATTTCGTCCCAACCTTCTAGTGCGAATCGGTTCGTCTCGTCTTGTTCCCCGCAGATTTAATCTCTCGACGTCGCTTCAGGTTTATATGGTCGATTTTGCGTTTGGATTTAAATTCGTTTGGTTTCTTTCTGAACTTTCTGCTTCATCTCTGATTTTCTGGGTTTTGTTCGCGTATGAACGTGCTGCAATTGATTTGAATTCGGGTTGTTGTTATGGTTAAAGGGGAAAACTGAGGTTTGGTTATGTTTGAAAACAAAGAGGGATTTGTGGTTTAAGATGGTTGAAGAAGGGTTGAAAGAAGTTGAGGGTTGGTTGGAGATTGAGAGGTTGAAGGGAGGTGGTTATTCGAGATCTAAAGAAGTCAAAAGGAGTTATATGGTTGAAGATGGAGCGAGCAAAAGTTTTTATTTTAAAAAGAAGGCTCGGTTTTTCTCCCTCCCCCTTTACTGTGAAAAACGTTTCTGTTATATAGAGGGGTTTGAAGGAATCGTGAGGGGGAGAAGAATGAGGATGTATTTTTTCACTTGATTTGGGGTTGTATGAATTATTTACAAAAGAAATGTTTATGCCCCTTTTTTTTGTCGTTTACGTGAAACTTTCCAAGCCGCTGCAAGTCATTTTCACGTGCAGGTTTTGCATATGCGGCTTTGTATTGTGGCATCAAAGCTTGTGGAAAGACGGATTCCAGCTTGCATTTGTCGCTTGGCAGGTTTGTAAATTGCTCCATTTTGTTGTGCGAAATGAATGGCAAGATTTTGATTTAGTTCATTTTTGTACTGCTGATTGTGTTGTATTAATTTTGTATAGTGCATACTACAGGTCAGTTTTTTGCTGTTGCGATTCGATGGTTGTGTAGCTTGTGATGTGCGTGTTCTGATGAATCAAGATGGAAGGCAGGTGGTGCGTTATTTACGTGGTATTCTCGTGGCTAGTGGTGAAGTAACAGTTTATTGTGAGTTATGTTTGTAAGGATTGGATATTTTCATGGCAGCTAGTATATGGTGAGCTGGTATATGGTGACGGTTGAGGCATGAATTATAGTTTCCACAACATGGATTTTTTAGGGTGGGTCCATGAGAAAGATTTAATTCTTCCCCATTTTTTGTTATTATTTCTTCATAATCTTATCATAAAACTTTGTTTTTTTGGTGAAATGAAATGGGCTCATGGAATGTTGTAATGAGCTTTATGAATCTTTCCTTTTTTTTCTTGCAATTTGTAAAATAGAATGATAAGTGGGCCTTTTGTATCATGACTTGCCATTTGCACCATACTTGAATTTCTTCACAAAAAACAATTTGAGATAAATGAATTATACCCTTGTTTCTATGTTAGCCACATTCAATCCAAAATGAATCAGTCATAAGCATTGCAAATGAAACCAGAAAAATGAATTAATCCTCCATTTGTACTTTTGAACTATGTTTAATCAAGATGACAAATAATCTTAATTCATGTTAGAATTCCAAAACTTGATCCATGAATCTCATCAATATTATTCTTGAATTTTCACTCGAATAGAACATTAAATTGATCCATAACCCAATCTTGACCTGTGAATGCATTAAAACCTTAATCATAAATCAAATCTTGAAACAATCCTGAACCAGGAATAGACTGATGCTTTGAATAAGCAAATCCCTCTGAACCTGATAAAGAAATGGAGTCATTTTGAACTAATGTCACTTGGATTGCGGCTGAACCACAATCTTTCCTCATGCTCGGATGATCCATCTCCTCGAGCTTTAAGGACTCCACCAGAGGACTTACCAAAGAAGAGCCCTCGAAGAACCTCTTGTTATGCAGGTACGGGGGCAACTCGAACATGCTCTTCTTTCTTTCCATGCTAAGGTCCACAAACTCATTCACATGTGAATGTTTAAGCCTTAAGCTCACAGGCAAGGGAGACAACTGGATAGCCGGTGGGGTGGACGAGGAGGTCCCCGATCTAGTCTGAGGAGGAGGCGCCCGCTGGCTGAGACTACTCTTACCAATCGTCACGCCTCCCTTCATTTTCCCCTGAAAATTCTTCACCATTCGCTCCTGAGCGGAAGACATATTACTTGCAAAACAACAGACACATTAATACATGAAGTAAGCAACAACTCAAATGAGCTAAGAGGAAATAAAAGACTACCCAGAAGTTCTAAATCCCCCGCACGAGTACTGCACTCGAGGACCTCTTTCGTGTTAATATATCGAGTCTCCACCTAAGGTCCCCCATCTTTCTCATAAACAATCTTCCCAGCATGAGTCATGCACTGGGCAGGGAGAAAGTCGTCCACAAAAGCCACCAGTTTGGCATAGTTGGCTCGGTCATCATCCCCCAGCTGATGAGAAGTGGCGATGTATTCGCTGGTTAAGCGGGTAAAATGGGCCCTGCTCTGGTAAAAAGGAAACTTGACACCTTTATGCAATAACCTTGTTGTACTCGTCTACCAAGGCTTCCCCATCTTCGTCTGTCGAGACCTCCCAGACGAAAGTTGAGTCGGTGGCCTTCTCCGACACGGGCTCAATAACATATAACCTTTCTTTGAAAGTCCTAATGGACTCGGAAAAAGGTTTGCGGTAGAACGAACGCAACATATCCTTTTTGAAAGATTGATTATTTTTTGCCATGCGAGGCAAGAAGTCATGTTTGATTAGTTGAATTGTCTTTAGGGGTGAGATAAGTCCTTAGATAGTAACCCCTACGGGTAGTACCTAATTCTTTATCTCAAATTTTTTGTTATGAAAGGTGTGGCGAACGTAGCGTCTTCGTATTGAAAGACAAGCGTCAAGACGACACACACTACAGTGAGTATCTCAACACTCGAAGAGGAAGAAGTCTACACTCAATCCTTAATTCAACACAAAGAGAACTTCATTCTCTTATTAAAGTGTTTTTGGTTTTGAATGGTAGGTGCTTTGCGACTGTAAACCCTATGATAAATGTCAACACTCGGGATAGGAGAAGGCCTACGCCTAACCACTCCACAACCATTCAATTTTTCTTACGAAAATGAGTTTGAAAATGCACTCGGTGCGGGACCGAAGTTTTAGGGTGAAGAAGGTTGCGGGGAGAAGTTGTGACTGGAGAGATAGAAGATGAGGGCGCGTCTTTGTATTGAAAGATGAGTACCGGGACCACCCACACTACAGTGAGCATCCCAACACTCAGAGAGAGAGAAGTCTAAACTTAATCCCCTTATTTTAATTCAATACAAAGGAAAATGATTTTACGATTGAAGACGTTCGTGAAAATGAATTCGGTACGGGACCGAAGCTTTTTTATGAAGAAAATATGTAAATTCATGGTGATAACCAAAAGAAAACAGAGCTTTGATATGTTAACAAACACAAAGGAATCCAATATCAATAAATCTCACAAGATAGGTCAAGTATAATATGAAAGAAATTCAATCAAGACGTGGGGTAACGACCTAAGAATGAACCAGCTAACAAGTAGGCAAAAGGGAATTTGTAAAAACAAGCAAATTGAGATTTTAATCCATTAAATGAAACTAGACATCACCATGAGCAAGTTGCAAAAAGAACGGGTTAAAAATAATAAACAATGAATAAGTTATGAATTATGGAAGTTTTGAAGTTTTATGAAAATAAAACAAATAAACAAGCACATAAAAAATAAAAGGGGCATGGGTAGGGATTGAACCCACACCCTTGTGTTTACAAACACAACACACAAACTAACAAGCCACTAAACACACCATTTCATCTGCTTCCAGCATACATTCTCCTGATGGTCCCTCATAAGGGGCACTATGAGGTTGATGGATCATTACCTTGATAGTATAATATATTTTGGTTTTTTCTCTCAATCTTGACTTAAAAAAATAAGAAAGAAGGGATATTCAAAAGAACTTCAATTTAAATTGAAAGCCGTACAGGCAAGCATCTTTTGGATTTTTTATATAGCATACGGCTCTATACTTTTAATTTTTCATTTTTTTTACCTTTTATTGAAGAAATAAATAAATAAATAAATATATATATATATATATATATATATATATATATATATATATATATATATATATATATATATATATATATATATATATATATATATATATATATATATATATATATATATATATATATATATATATATATATATATATATATATATATACCGGGTCTATCAGACCCAGATCAGTAAAGAATCCAATAACCATCTTTCTTTTTTTTTTTTAGAATATTTTAAAAAAATTTAAACACTATGATGATTCTGTTGCTCTCTTAATTTTGTGTAGTTTTTGATTCAGCAATCCCAAAGTTTCTTTTTTTTTTTCTAATGAAGTAAAAAAAAAATCGTGACACTAAAAGAGGCTCTAATTAATAGATAAGAGGAAATATAAAATTGTAAATACCCTTTCCCCTTTTTCCTACTACTCTTTCGATATAGAATTGAATGGTTTAAAAAAATATATTTTTGCATATCGAACTCAGAGTGCCATGCTTTTTTTACTTTATATTGGCGTAGGCATAGTCTTCTTCTACAAATAAGAATCATTGGCGCCAAGCGTGAGGAAATGCTAGACGTTTGGTAATTCCGCCTCCTGCCAAAATAAGAGATGCCATTGAAGCGGCTAATCCCATGCATATTGTATGTACTTGTGCTTCTACAACTTGCATAGTATCAAAAATGGCCATTCCAGACATAACCTTTCCGCCGGGAGAATTTATAAACAGATACAAATCTTTGTTCTTGTTCTCTAAACTGAGATATATCATCATACCAGCAACTTGATTTGCTAGTTCACTCTCAATCTCGTCACCTAAAAAAAGAAGTCTGCTGTAAAAAAGTTGATGGTATAAGTCAACCCAAGTAGCTTCATCCTCGCCAGGAATTTGAAAGGCTACCTTTGGAACACCCACTAGCATAAAAAATGATGTAGTTGCCTGACATCAGCATATTACTTTAATATAAAATTGTGCAGAAATGCTATGGTTCTGAACTATTTTTTTTGTTATTTCGTAAGAAGTCATTCGCCGGATCATGCACATTTTCCTAGTTATAACAAAAAAAGTGCAGTTGGTTGGATCCAATCTATTCTTTGAAATAAACAACTCGCACACACTCCCTTTCCAAAAAAAATCAATACACTTAGGACTGCACTTATATTTATTAGATTTGTTGCTAAAATATCGGTATCAAACCCGAAACTTCCGGCGGATGGCCAGGAAATGAAGCAAAGAAAAGAATCGGTTATATTTTTCATATGATCGCATCTCCTCTTATGGATAGACTAAATTTATTTCTACGATTCCAAGTTTTTTTATTCGTTTTTGTATATAATAGTTTATTCTATAATCGAATTATTTAATATGAATATATTTACTTATTATTTCTATTTTGATTCTTACTAATAATGAATATTAGTAAGAATCAAAAGATACTAAGAAGACTATTCTATTCTATTCTATATTTGGAATTGGTTAGTCAATTGAAAGATTCCCTATAAGGAATGATACTTCTTAGAAATAAATACTAGTTCGTATGTAAATTGCAAAATACTTAGTTGTTTTCAACACTTTCTAAATAAAAAGGGGGTCATTGGACTAATGAAAGGGACGGAAGAAGGCAAATCAGTATGTTAATCCGAATGCAAAAAATTGTAACAGTAAAATCGAAATAGAATTAGCAAGAGCAACAACGAAAATCCATGAAAAAAAAACAATATGTATTTTTTTGAATAAATATTAAACTAAACAAAAGGATTGGCAAATAAAAGCGCTAATGCTACAACCAGCCCATAAATAGTTAAAGCTTCCATAAAAGCCAGACTAAGTAATAAAGTACCCCCGTATTTTGTCATATGCTTCCGGTTGTCTCACAATCCCTTCTACAGCTTGCCCTACAGTTGTGCCTTGACCAACTCCAGGTCCAATAGAAGCAAGCCCGACGGCCAACCCAGCAGCGATAACAGAAGCAGCAGCAATCAGTGGATTCATGATAAGTTTCTCCTATCTCAAAATAAAATAAAGAAATAGTTAATAATATAATCAATAAAAAATATATGACTTAATTATTTCATTTGTCCTATTTCTCTTTATCTAGTCGAAGTGTAATTCAAAATTTCAAACTGAAGAATTTGGATTGATTTATCTCAATTACTTTGATATTTACTTTTTTCGTTTCTACCCTTGTCGTTTTTTGTGAATACATACAATTTGGGGTCTTATCTTACATTTCATTTAAACCTTTCTTTTTCTTTTTGATTTCATTTTTCCAGTCATTTTATATTCCATTCACAATTCCAAGAGATGGAAGAGCTCTTTTTTTTGAATCCCTACCTAAATTTAGAGTAGTAGCAGGACAAATTGAGATATATAGTCATATATAACTAATGAATAGAGCATCCACACTACAGTGAGCATCCCAACACTCAGAGAGGGAGAAGTCTAAACTTAATCCCCTCATTTTAATTCAATACAAAGGAAAATGATTTTACGATTGAAGACGTTCGTAAAAATGAATTCGGTACGGGACCGAAGCTTTTTTATGAAGAAAATATGTAAATTCATGGTGATAACCAAAAGAAAACAGAGCTTTGATATGTTAACAAACACAAAGAAATCCAATATCAATAAATCTCACAAGATAGGTCAAGTATAATATGAAAGAAATTCAATCAAGACGTGGAGTAACGACCTAAGAATGAACCAGCTAACAAGTAGGCAAAAGGGCATTTGTAAAAACAAGCAAATTGAGATTTTAATCCATTAAATAAAACTAGACATCACCATGAGCAAGTTGCAAAAAGAACGGGTTAAAAATAACAAACAATGAATAAGTTATGAATTATGGAAGTTTTGAAGTTTTATGAAAATAAAACAAATAAATAAGCACATAAAAAATAAAAGGGGCATGGGTAGGGATTGAACCCACACCCTTGTGTTTACAAACACAAAACACAAACTAACAAGCCACTAAACATGCGCATGGTAAGGGATGGAAAGGGAGAAGAAATATAAAACAAATGACAAATGGGAAACAAAATGCCAAAAAGAGTTGATCCCAAGGATCGAACTCAGGACTGGAAAGTGAAAGGGTGATATGCGCGTAAGTTGATTACCACTGGAGTGGCTATACATCCAAGTATAAAGCCACCCCCATAAATAGATAACCCTACTTATGATGAATTTCCTGGGCAAAAAAAATCAAGCCAACCAACCAAAACGTGAAGAATTCAAACTCTATCAAAACAACTCCAATTTTAACAAAATTTAAACCTAAACTAGTTGTTTTTTTACAAGGAACATGATAGTATCAACAAAATTTTGAAAAGAGGCTTCTAACAAAAACACAATAGAAGATGCAAGATTGGTAACATGAGTTGCATTTTGAAAACTAACATCAGCTATGAGTTCAAACACATCAAAAATGTAATGCACACAACTCATATATGTCATATCAGAGGTATTGCACATTTAGGGCTCAAGCATAAACCAATAGAAATGCAAGTGACACATGAATTGAAAATGTAGCATGATAGATGAAGTAAACTGTCAAGACAACACATTGGCATTTTGAGATGCAACTTGATGTAATTAGGAGTAATGGCATATGTGAACAAGATGCAAACATGATTATGAATAAGTTCAAGCAATGATACCAATCAAAATAATGTTGAATCAAAGAAGGGCATATTAAATTGCAATGATGTTGCTGTCCAGAATTTACACAAGGGCCAAACATGGATGGAACTCATTTGAAATCACAACAGAACCAAAACCTTAACCAAAATAATTTAGGATACAATGAGAAAACAAGAGGATCACAATCATGATGCCAAGGTAAGACACAAAATGCAACTGTCATGCCAAGTAAAATGAAAATAGAAAGAAATGCAATTTTGAAATCCAAAGTCATGTAGTAATTGCAAAACAATTTGAACAGGCCTATCTCACAAACCCAAATTATGATATAAAGTATGTATATGCTTCAAAATTCCTCACAAACAACATAGAATTGAAAATCACACATCAACTACTCACTTAAGCATGAAAATGCACAATTTGAAACCAAACAAGATTGGAACAGATTGAAGTCAAAAACAAACCACACACAAGTCTCAAACATGATGATGAATGAGTCTAGCATTTAAGTTGATCATGAAATGCACATAACAAAAACATGGCTATCAAACTACAATTGTATCAAACATGGTAGTAAACTGTCATGACAGAAAAGCAAATCATACACAAAGCTGTTTGATTCATACACATGCAAGTCCTAAATACTATTAGAGGTCTAATGCTAAATGAGATGACCTGAAACAATTCAAACAGAAAAAAGTGAAGTGTGTGCAGTTGTGGTTTCAAGACTGTTTTGGCAGCAAAATTGGGTTACAAACTGGTCTAGCAAAAGTAGATGGTCTCATGTTGACAAACATAGCACATACACACCACAAATATAACAATGAAGGAGTTTCAATTCAGAAAACAAACATTTTGCAAGCAGAAAAGAACTTGGTATATTCATGGCAGATTTTGGTTTGAAAGTGCAATTTGGAAGTGAAATGAAGAAACGGGTAAAAATAGATCAAACAAACAAAGTGTACACATCAAAATCATGAAAATGGATGAGTTCTAACTCCATGTTTAGGCATATGCAAACAGAATTGAAACTTGACATGTTAATCGTAAGAAAAGCAAAATTGTCTTGGCACAAACTTATCACAGCAGGGCATTTTGGCAAGCAATGAGTTTTATGATGAAACAAATGTTATACACATATCATGAATATGCTAAAAGATGAGATCATGCTCAAGAAATGGATCAAAACATTACCAAACAGAATATGGCATTGTGAAACTCAAGAAATGCAAAAGATCAGCTCATGTAGGCAACAAACAGGTTCATGGCAGTTGGGATGATTGAGCCTTACATACAAGTTTAACATATGTAGAACATTGATTTTATGCATATAGATCAAGTAGAAACAGGCTAAAATAGAATATGGTATGCTATGGTATCATGAGGTCTTGAAAATGCAAGTGAAGAATGACAAAACAGTTTTGAGCAAATAGTGGAAATTTGAACATATAAGTACAACATACATCCTCAAAGCATATTAACAGATGATTCCACCACTTAAAATCAAGCAAGAAACATTCCAAACCAGAACGGGTGTGCTGATCCAACTTTTGACAACAAAAACAACAAAGAACTCACAACAACCCTTAATGAACAAATCTCAAGTTCTCATCATTTCAACCAATTCAAACACTATGAGCAAGATCATGTAAACATAAATCAATGGTTTAGAACATTTAAGACACAACATGGCAAGTATACATCATCTTGACACAAGACTCATGGTAATGGTAAAGTGAATGACCAAAAAATCACAAGTGTGGAAACAAGAGCCAAACTAGATTCAAACATGATCTAGGGCAGGGGGATCTCATGAATCAACTTACAAGTTAACCAAATATCATCAATAAATTAAGATTGACAAATCTTAGGGCAAGCATACCAACATTATTATGTTTGGATCTCTAAAACTACCATATAGACAAAATCTTCAAAAACAAGTTATACATAATATCAAAGCTCAATATTTGTGACATAGTATCAACATATCATTCATGGATGAAATACTTTAACAAAAGCAAACATCATAGTTACAAAACCTAAGTTCTTGACAAAGAACTAGTATGGGACAACAATGACTACATTTCCACAACAAGCAACTTCAAAGTTGTAAACATGATAATGAATGAATAAAAAAGTGGTTGAGCATCACATACCTCTTGTAGACAAGTCTTGAGCAAGCTAAAAAGCTGAGAAACCCAGAGACCTTCTTCTTTGGCAAGGATTTAGAGCTTTCTCCCTCTTAAAGCAACAAGCTATCTTTCAAGACAGTTTGAGTTGTG